GAAACCACAACATAAAGCATGTGCTCAATCCTTGCCACCGCCAGTCGAATAGAGTAAGCGGAATGGTGAAATGCCGCAAGTTACATCTTCTCGCTGTGTTAGACAAAATTTTCAACTACGTTTGGATACCAGGTTACCGAGCCAAAGTATTTCGAATGTCTATGGCCACTGAGCATCGAAGCGTTAAGAGACTGATTTCCGGTGACCACTTGAGCCCGAGTAAGTAGTTCAGGAGTCCGCAGGCAACAGGGACTACGGCGATGCACTGGACACAACACTGAAGTTGTAAAGGTTATGGTGGCAATGCCAAGCTCTCCGTATGCCTACAGCCAGAGAGTCTAGACTAGCGTTTTTCACTGACAGTGCCTCTGCAACTACCGACTAAAATAGTGGGCAGGTATCCAGTGAGTGTGAGCTAAGTAACACAGATGGTTCAAGTAGAAGAGCTGGTCTAAGGGGTCTGATGCAACGCAACAACTGGCTGCCTTCGATATTACTACCTCCATTCCCCACCAGATGGTAAGGGCAAAGCTAAGTAAACATATGAGATCAGAGATGAACAAATTGTGGCCATGGTAGACAGACAGGCCCGAGTTTTGGAAACGAATTGCAATCGCCTCTGCTGCCGACAGTAGTCCTCATCTAACCGGTTCTGCGTGAAGACTGGGTACATCACAACTGGGCTGCAATGCGTCTTGCGATTTGATTTGGTAATCGCAGCCTACTAGGCGCGACAATACTGCACTCGTCACATTCTCTCACCCCACTGTAGAACGAAGCTGCGCAATGCCATCGAGCTCTTACGGACGGTTGCCTGGTCGTTTTCCCAATATGCCTTGCGAAACATAAGCAACGGAAATTTTACATACATAAGGAATTCTGAAACCTAGGTATCACGGGCTTCAGTTGCTGGTGCACAGTTTACGTTGAGGAAAAGCTTACGCGCAGATCGGTCGAAAAGTACGTTCTCGCTGTGACTATAGAAAGTCTTTAAGAGGTGGGTTCCGCTACTGTGGTCTTCCTAAATGTTAAAGACAAGTATATTAACCGCTTACCTGCGGAAGTAGGTTTCACCTTTAATACCCGCGGTTCCATGTGTCTCTGGATGGAGTTTCCTGATTATCTATTACGTTCGAACACGATTCGGATACAACTCAGCTCATCTTCTGTCCATAGCCCCCGCGCTCTCTCCCTTAGGCAACAGATGAGATTTCTTTTCTGACTCATTGCAAGAAAACCAGTGAAGCAGGTATACTACTCATTCCAAATTTTCTCTCTGTGCATTCTCCTCTGCATTGACCAATCCGATGCCTTATTGACCTGGACATCTAAAAATACCAACGAGTCGTTACGTTCTAGCGCTATAGTAAATGAGGTTACTTTGTGTCGAGTTGCAGTGGGCTAACAGGTCATTGAGGTACACTCCATTATTTGCGATACAAAATATGTCCACACATCACATCGACACAATACACCAACTGGTTGAGCCCCAATTTGCTCATTAAGATGTCTACGAGTAACGGCCTGAGTGGTGAACCCATAGCCACTCGTCTACTTGTCGGTACAGCGCTCTGTTAAACAGGGACTGAAAGTTTCTCGTGCACGTTAACAGTGGTTGCCTCAAAGTGTCCTGTGGAATACCAATTTTGATGTGCAATTGCATGAACTGGTCTCCTCTAATAGAACACTGGTATGAAGAGACATCACATCTAAGGAGAACACGTTCCCCCTCAGCTAGTGAGTAAAGAAAATCAGAAGTATTCTTGAAGCTGCATCTGGCTATGGATTTTCTGACTAGCTCCAGCCGTTGAAGGAGCCTGCAGTGAACTGGAGATTCCCCCGTATGACTGTGCTAATTAATCTAAAATATTCTAAATTATAATTTGCTTATGTATTAAGGAATTAAGCGATCTGCTTGTTTGAATTTTGCTCCCGTCTGGTTGAGTCACGTAACACGCGGGCATCCGCTTTGCGACCAATCGGACGTGACCAGCTGATAGGCGCTCGTCCTCCCATTCAACACGCGTCCGTATGTCCTCCCTAGCTAGCTCTCCTCAGATGCTCCATGTGTAGCTATTGGCAACTTTAGTAAACCATGCAATAAATCTTTTCAAGCTAATTTTCGTGTGTTTTCCAGTGCGCTCTCGGTTGGTCGTTTAACCGCTAATCTGATATATAGCGCACAATCGACGCGCTATAAGCCACTTGGCGGTTGAATGACACGGTGTGTTACACATATACAGTACCGCCTCTAGTGGTAGACTTTCCTTATGTACTCTGGGTAGCCCATAGGCTGGAACAACTGTTATACGCGGTCTGGCGTATTCGAGTATGTCATAATCGATTACATTCCCTGTTCTAAGCAATGTATCGTTATGGGGCTCTCCAATGCCTGGATATTGTTCTTCTCGTTATGCTTTCTTAGAAAGCTTGACCCGTCAGTAAGGATGGTATACATCTTTCAGATGAAGTCCGATCTATTCATCAGAACGATCCCGCGTCCCTTTACCTGGGCTAGACAACAGTACATTGTCATTAAGACCGCCTGGATATTCCTGTTTCAAACAATGTATGGTACATGGTTTATAGCCTAGCCATTCGTTAACCAGTGCCGCTAAGGCTGATGACGGCGTAAGCGTAGCTAGCTGGGAGTATGGATTCCCAAATCGGACCACTAAATTTAACTGTTGACCTAGTCCCGTGGATAACGGAATTTAGGGCCGAGACAGAGCCTCGAGTAAAACATTGGCTAATAGCAGTGAAAAGAAATTGTGAACGGATCTCTTGTGGTCAGAAGGAAATAAGTTATGTGGCTTACCCACATTGATCTGTTTCTGTAATGTGGATACTCGTACTTCCATTTATGGTGCAACAATTAGTTGAACACATAATTCGAACGGCTGGTATTACACAACAACTAGATTCGTCAATACGAAAGAGAAGACGCATCGGTTAAGCTTGGATCCGTTAACCCGAAACATAATCGTATAACGTGCATTCATTGTGTGACGCTTTAACGCAATATTCGTTGGATTAATTCCATTAGGTTTGAGTATTTTCCAAGAACGCTTAGAATATTCCCACTGTAAAATGCACCCGTCAAAAAAATGCGCCGATGCTTTCGACACTGAAAGCTTGTACTAGTTAAGTTCCCTAAAGACAGTGGGGTCCGTGGACTCTTTCAGATGAACACATCAGAAACAAGGGGTACCGAACAAGCTCCTTTTCAATGATTTGTCATCAGACTACTGAAACCACAAGCAAAAAAATAAAACGGACACGTAAGTGTTGAACGTAGTCAATCGTCAATAAGGGCGATCACGCCACTCCACATCAAGCAAACCACTCAAGTAGTCATCGAGTACACATTTTAGCCCACACCGTTTAAACCTCATGCGCCCGTTTTAGACAGATTAGTTGTGGTTGTAATAACCTGATGACGAATCATTGAAGACAATCTTGTTCGCCAATATTTACTTCTGATGTTGACTCCGAGCGTTATTTCTTAATTATGAGAGCCGTCAACTGGATCCACCCTTAGATGATCTCCAGACAACGCTTGTGGAAGCATACACCGAAACGAGTGAGACATCTTGTTTCCAGACAGTTCTGATTAATTCCTGTAGAGGTTCGAAGTCGAATCGCATACATACGGCTGTGGTTACCAAGACCCACTAGAGTAGGTAGCCTCAAGTGCTACTGTTGAGGGTAATCGGACACCGTATATACGCCTAGCCATCTACCCGTAATCGTTTTGGGGGCGGAGCACGTGGTGACTATTAACAGATTCTAAAGCAGGTTAAGTATGACACTGTTGGCTTGCATGAGTGATTTGGGAGCACAATATACACTGAGTAGAAGGGAACGCACCTATTGATCGAGCTGACATAGCTTGAAAAGACCAAAGGAACTAGGGTAAAGCAGACTTTGGTTCGAAGGAAGATTTAGGTGTATTGTTAGAATCAGTTGCAGAGTCCATGGTGGTAATCTCCTGGTAAATCTTGGAAGGAAAAACTTAAAATGGAGAAGAAAAACAGGAAGAACAACTACGGCGGAGTTAAGTGTGCAAACGATACTCTCCGGTGACACATTTCGAGAGAAGCGTTTTGTTTATGATTTCCCTAAAGTCACAGATTGAGATAAGAAAAGCTCATATGGCTCCGCTTTTCCATGTATCGCGACTTTCAAATCGACTGTGGTCATATCAGTAAGTGATGGATGCGGAAGGTTGGTGGGACTGCAAAGCAGGAAAGGCACTAGTACAAACTTGATATTTCCACAATTACTCGATCAATTATCTTTCATTAGGCTGCCCATTATGCGGCTGGATTGCGATAGCGACTTGTAGGCTTAATTGCGTAGATGGAAGATCACAGGCGGCTGTGTGGCGCAAGATAAAGCAAAATGCAGGTGGCCCTATGTTAGCATAATAATATTCCTTTAGTCTAGCCAATAAGACTTCGATAAATGAAAATCATTCTTTTAAGCACCAAAACGCGCAAGAACGTGGTCACAAAGTTAGCGACTCAACTGAAGCGACATAATTTGATGATGTTCACAGTGCTTCAGTGAGCATTGCTGAGGCAAGCACGTCAGGAAAAAATACCGAAACGTTCGGTAAGCATCACTGAAAAGTCTAACTCGAATCTCTCGTAGATTATCTCCACATGAAGGTCTAGGATTAATATATAATTTGTCACACGGTAGTAAACCAGAAACGAGTAACTATTGAATATACAGACGCAAAATTGCCCGTGGTGAGATACACGAAATTTTCCCCAACCTAAGACACCACAATCAAGTAAGGTTGAACTTTGCCGATAACACCAATAATCGCGAACGGTCACCGTCCAATTCGACTTTGGATTTCAGGTCAGGACAATGGTACGGAAAAAGACTGACTAGGTGTTTAAAAGTTTTCAGTTTCTGATTTTTTTAAGTGAAGAATGTGCAAAGTATTTTAAAAGAGTGCGGGCAAATCGGCGATGATTCGATGTTTCTCAAAAATACACTGCATGTAAATCGGTGATCTTGGAAATTTCCGTTGCTGAGTTGGTCGCCGAGCTGGGTAACCTAATTGCAAGCAAATTGCGTAGACTGGCAAGCAATTCAACGTGTGAACAGAAAACCCGATCTATCAGTACACCAGATTACTTTTAATTCATGGATACGTTACTTTCGGATGGAAGCAGCAAATCAGCAACCAACGAATTTCCCCATGCACATCCCTAGTGTGCTCAGGTATCAATATGTTGAACAATGACATTACCTCATGCAGGATAAAAGCAAAGTTCATGAATACCGGCTGACGGGTACGGCTGCAATGGAACAAGTACAACGCGAGATGAACGGGTTTTCGTCACAGACACCGGCAGTCGAAAGTAGGTGGCGAGTTCTCTCATGAAGCATACCCGAATCCATAATAGTGCTACCTACAGGGAAAGGGTCCGCTTGTGGGGCATTATGTAACCCATACATTCATTCATATGCAGCGCGGTGGGTCCCCGAGCGAAGTTCATTCACAACTGCAGTGTACTGAAACGTTGTGTGGATGACGCTGAGTCCGACCGACACACAAGTGCACCCTGTGTTGGTGTGTAAAACATTCATTGATCAACGGGGCGTGTAACAGTGAGGATAAGGCCAACTCACCCAACTACGTCAATCCTTAAAGTAGAACGCAAGCAAGCACTTTTCGCCGGACATATCGGATACAGGTAACCAATCGCATTGGAGAATAACGTCATGAAGACAATATCAAAGGATGGTCCATAAAAGAAAACCGGTTAGTAGACGCATAAAGCGTAAAAACGGGGGGACATTCTGAACTTGTCTCCACTTAAGAAATCATATGCGAGGGCATAGATAAACTGCTCTACGCTACAGAGACAAATCAAAAGGAATAGCATCCGCAGTACGCAGTACTGGCATTTCGCTGCCGCGCAACCACCACCAGTCGTACGTGAGTTGACGATACTGCGAGGGTCGCACTGTCCTTAGGCAGACTCGAATCCATCTCGTCATATTAGAAGACAGGCTTGTGATCATTAAGGCTACGGTCCAACAAAGGGACAAATACTACAATGGTGTCTGAATACAACCTGCACCTGAATGAAGCAACGTAAATCATGCCACAAGTGGACCGCACCTATCACAGGCATTTAAGAGTGAGCCAGAATGAACTACACCTGCCAATAGTGAGAAGTCAAGCAATCGCGACCTGGGCGCTACGTCAAGAGTCTCCCATTAGGAGTGAAATTAAAACTCTAGTAACACGCCGGTAGTCAGTGAGGCTAAGGTGAAATGACCGTGTAGGTTCCGCATTACAAACAAGGAATAGCCAAGATTGTGGTACACCACCGTGTAACACAGTATACATGCCATGCGCATGCGAATTAGGGGCAGATGGGAAGGAAAAGTCAGTAATGAAAAAATTACTCTGTACTGATCTGAGGAGATTGAAATAACCGGAGAAGGCAAAATGGAAGCAAAGGTTAGGAAACACGAGTTAAAAACAGGTTCGGGTAGAAACGAAGACCGGCCTCGCTATCGTCTCGGCACACAAGGCCGGCGTCTTCCACTGCCAAAAGTCGCTCGCGAACCAAGACGGTGGGGAGGTTGGTAGCTCGTGCCATTTCGTCCGCTGTGAGGCTGCCACGTTTGTGTACGAGTTCAGCAGTAGCCTTGAGAGTTTCACTTTCGTTCTCTGAAGCCAACTGAAGTGTCTAAATAAGAGATATTAGGAAATGGCTCGTGATAAAGAGGGGAAAGGTTTCACTGAAGCTTAACAAAGTGAGTAAGTGGAGAATATTCTAAAAACTGAGTGGGGTAAATAAAGCTAGATGTTAGCTAACACCCACATATCAGAGGGCAATTCAACCGCTCACAGTGGAGACATCAATGGTGAACAGAGGTCCAATTTGGTTAAAGGGTACTTTTTCGAGATCAAGTTACTTAGATGAAGGTTCAACTGGTAACTGATCCCGCATAGAAAAAACAATTTCAATAACAGATTCGAATGAATGGGACGCCAGTTTAAAGGACACTTCGTAGCCTCAAACGCTGCCACACCGAATTTCCACCACATCGGATACGGTCGCAATTATCGGAATGGCCGAAATCAGCTTTAAAGTAAAGTGAGGACTAAATGGAGTTTTAGTGTCGAAATCCGAATCTCTGACAGGTATCCAGCGTTGAAACATGCAGCTAAGCTCAAATCAGCATCGCATCGATGTAGGCACAAACGGTGAGTTGTTTATCGTCAGAAAATAGTAGAACATCAAATTGATCGGAACACGCTCTCAAAAAAGGGCAGCAGGAAAAACAAAGACGCAAACTCAGATTTGTCGTGACGCGCGTGAATTAGAGGGAATGCCGTGTGAAGTATACTGTGGGAATAAATCTGCGCCTGCATCTGGTTATGGTCGTGGTGGAAAGCAGTGGATTGCGCACGGGTACGATAAGGTGCAGAGGAAAAACGGTCGGTCTTTTAGACAGGGGGGCTGGTGTGGTATCAACTGAGGATTCTACGTTAACAATGGGAGCAGCACCAAACGCATTGAGAACACGTTGGTGCGTAGTCTATTGGGCAAACCAAGGAGAATGCGAAATCGGGATGTAAGCGTGTCACGTGAAAGCGACGTTCCCGTATGTGGAGCATCAAGAGTCACTGTTTAGAGATTGAATGTGCTTCAACATTGCCAGTGTCCATAACACAAAATGGGAGATTGTGTACCCGTTCGAAATGGTCGGAAAATGTATTTAAGTAGCTGCATCAGCTCGGGTGGCTGTGTCGCAGAGATTAGCACATATGTTGCCAAGGTTCGAATGGCACTTTGGAGCAATCGGAATGTAATTAAATTTGTTAAGGGAAAGAGTAACAACGATGTGATGTCACCAGCTGTTGTGCGGATTGAAAAGCTGGTAGTTACAAGCTGAAGAAGTTAGGGTACTGGCCGCTTTCGATTACTGATGTTTGCAGAGTGATGTTCATATTTCGTGGGACAACCGAATGAGTAGCTGTGTTGAGCATGTCATTTGCCAGGAGTAGCTCTTACTCTTTTACCTGTCTGACAGTTTTGTCGTTCAGGTGAGTAACGATGGCTGCATGTACTGGAAGCACATTGAACAAATCATCCCTACTGGTTCGAAGCATAGTAATTCGAGGTTTGTTATGCTTTATGGTCAACAATTAGTTGTGACTGACGTAGTAATCGTTTTGGGGGACCGACTGAACTGTGCAAGGAACGAGAAGACTGTTATCTATGACAGACTATGCCAACGCTGCTATCTGAAGGGTGATTTAAAATGGCTGAAGAATTTATGAAGAATTCAAGACCCTTCAGTTACCTTTGCCATTCGGAACGCCGGCAGTTATTCACAAAATCCGCATCCCACCTTCAATGCTTGGGCTTGAGTTCGCACGATATTTCTGATTTGTGTCCCCTGACCATTCTCGGGACTATATAGCACGCAATAGTACCTAAACTGAACGACCCTAAGGCTTTCCCAGACGCCGCATGAGGCAATGAATGGAAGTCACTCTTGGATTGGACATCCCAGATGGAGTGTAACAGCGCTGTTTTACGGTGAAGGATCATTGTCCCTTTGATCTTTAACTGAACGTCTCCACTTTCAGATACTCTTAAGTTCATCCCCTCCCCATTTCATTGGTGGATACCAAAAATGATCATTTTCATGTATGGTGAATCTCATGATACGTGTCCCCCTAACAAAATCAAGTGAGCACACCGCCAAAACTCACCAACATTTGGGTGCGGACGATATTCCGACCACAGAGGAAGATTGCTCGCTGGGTGGGTGTCCAGTGTTCCCCACACTTATCTAGCCGTGACTTCGTCTTAATGTTCAACACATGTACCTGAAAACCAGTTAACTGGAAAGATACATTATAATGTTGCTTAGCAACTGGTCCCCTGGTATATTATCGGTGTGTCAGCTAAACTCCAAGCGCCTCCGTTAGTTCGGTCATGCGCTCCGTAAGCCAGTAAGATGGCGAACATTGCACCGAGATGGGCGTGGTCTCCAAGTGGTCAGTCAAAGAGCTTGCAAACGACTAGAAAGAAACTCACCTCAAGGCCGAGTCATTCTGGTACCCCTCAGTTCTGCGTTCGGAAGTGGCCTGAAAATACCTAACTTCGTGGTGGGACAAATGTGGTTGTTTGGAAAACTCTAGATTTCCCGAAATATTTACCAGAACTAAGCAAAATATGGATTTATTACTATCCGTCATTTTGATTTTAAAACGGCGCGCGCAAACCCGTTCCCACCTGGGGCAAGGACTGTGACTGGACAGTCTGACAAGGTCGTCAGTGGATCTACAAATACCCAAAAGTGTTTCACTGGTAAACGGCACAGTTAGCATCATATAAATCTCATCCAGAAGACCCGTGTTCTGCCTTGTTTGGATTCGGGCTCTTGACTAGAAGCCGAATTTGTGTTCAGTACGTCATTTAAGTTCGTTTGCTTGTGAGCTTTCTGTTTCTGTGTGTTTGTGTTTGTGTGTGTGTGTGCGTGTGTGTGTGTGTTATACCGAATTGTGGTAATGGTCGTCCGATCGTAACAATAATGGTCAGGTGATACAGCGGGTTAGCATATCGAACGTGTGATGAATATAAATGACAAGAGAAGGATCACTTACTAACAGTCCACTAGGAAAGCACTTGAGACGAAGCGGTAGTTGTTCCCGCTCGAGGAGATGACAAGCACGAAGCAAATCATCGGGTGAAATAAGCTGCATTCCTCTGGCTCGATTGATTCTGCAGTACACCGAGGGCAAATCAATGCACCCAGCTCCCGCCTGGGAATCGGTGCAATTCGTCAGTAGGGGAGTGAGCAAATCACATAGCTGATGGGCTAGCTGTGTGTGAAATGAGTCGGGATTAACGCTCTTTCGGTCCGTTTGGCGAGATCCGTACTCGTCCGAAATGCCCACAGAAAGCATGGCTGAGCGGAGTTCAGCTGTTTCGTTCGTCGTCCATTGGCCATCCTGTGGAAGGTGTAGAAATGAGTAGTATATTTACGAAGAGGCTCAATAGTCAAGTCAAGTAAAAATAAGCTTTATACACCTAAATTGATGAATTGTCAGCGTTTACACTATCACTGCGGATACACTAAATGAATGGGACTAGTTAAAAATACATAAACACATATTGGAAAATTAAATAGGCAAAGCTATGGGAATGTCATTCGGGCAACCGCATGCGAAAAGCATTTATGAGTTTCATAGGGTCGACAAGAAAGCGTGATAAATAAGGCAAGATTGTGTTACAATATGAAAAAGTGCGAAAAAATAAGATCCTGAATTTTGAGCGTGTGAGAGACAGAGGACGTTTGTGAAAGAGCATCATGTAGCGGTTGAGAGCCGTTACTTAGAAAAATTCATGAAAGCGTCTAAATGCTTACGAGCAATGAAAACAACTATGGAATCTCTCGGAAAGCCACCACATCTGGAAATATGTTTACTCGACCACACCATAAAAATGTAGTCCTTCTACAGTAGTCCAGGGAAGACTACTGGGGAACAGTACAAAGAGTGGGGGTAGTATACGTGCAATTACAAATCTCAAAATTAAGCTTTCCGATAGGGAAAAGTTCTTAAGTCGGAAAGCATAAAAAGATAACCTTATGGCCTTGTGAAAGGTCTTCAAAACGTGTATGGACCAAGAAAGTTTCTGTGAAAAATAGACACCGAGATATTTGACAGTGGATGAAATAGGAATGGTTTTGTCCTCCAAAGTTAATAGAGGTGATGCATCTAAAATTACTCACAAGTTATCAGGGCGGGGAAATGAAAATGTTACGCCAGTATATTTCAAAGGATTAAGGTTAAGGGATCTGGTTGAGGACCAACTCAGAAATTCGTCTAAACCACATTGAAGCGCAGATGTCACAGCGGTGGGAAATCTGCACCCCAAGACAACATCGTCAGCATAATTGCATCCAGTGAGCGTTGATGGTATGGAGAGAAGTTGGCATATAAAGAGAATAAAATGGGGTGAGAGGATGGTGCCCTGCAAAATACCACAGTCAGCGTGGAGCATAGAGGAGCTATTGCCGTTTAACTAGGTGAAGTGCATACGATCAGTGAAATAGTCACGCAACAAGTCACAAATATCAGGGTGGACTCCGTTCAAATAAAGTAGAGTAAGCAGAACTGATCGATCAAGACTCCCGAACGCATTTGATGCTGTCAGATCCTGGAACATCGTGATAGCTTACCTTCGCGTCCCGAGCACGTCTGGCCAGATTTCGACTTAACATGACGATTTCCTTTGCATGTGTCATTAGTTTATTCAAATCGTCAAAAGCCTCCTCCAACTGTGTATCTGTGATGCCAGCGCGAGCGGCTTGCTGTCTTTGAATAGCGCCGATTCCCGCGCCAATGTGATGGCGGGAAGCAGTGGAGGGAACCAGCGAAGCAGCCCAAACTTTAGCCTGAAAATAAGATGCAGATGTATGGGCTGATGAATACGTGTGGGGCGACGCGGAAGGTAACAATGGTTAATATAGTCCGCACAATCAGTAGTCAAAAATGCAAGCAGTGATCCAGATTGGGAGTTGTTGAGACCTGAAGTGTAATGGAACCAGATGTCCTAAGTAGTGCTGCTGCGGTTTAAAAAGCAACGGAGAAAATGGCTAACAAAAGCTGATCATAAGACGACCAGCTAGATGCCGGAGTCTTCAAAGGAAAAGAAGGCAATTGGAGGCACCAGAAGGAATGTAAAAGCACTACTGAAATAGTAACTGGGCCACTAAGCACAAGATCATTGATAACTAATGGAGCTGATTTCGACGCCTCTGTACGAAGAGAGTGAAAGCCTCACCTCGACATAGTATATTGAGCAGACGTTTCAAATGTCATTGCCATGTCATTAACTGGACTGGTGAAGCAAGCAACATATACGAACATGCTCAGTTGTTGGGCATGCGAAAAGCTGAAAGCAAGTGGTGGTTATCAATCATCAGTTGCATCCGAAGAAACTTGCTCAAAACAATGACTGACCAGTTTTAGGCTCAAAAGACAACATAAATGGAAGTTTGCATACGGTCCCGACTGGGAGCAGATGAGACCCAGCCGATACAGAGAAAGAACATGCACAACTCTTCTAAATCTACTGAGGATGAGTATGACCGAAGGCACGCAGATACAAAGAGGAAGCTGCAGACATATTTCAAAGTTACACTTGCCAACACTCTTGTGAAAAGCAGAATGTCAAGGTCCCAAGTGAGATCAACAATGAAGTCTTCAGTTTGTGCTATTCTTTTCATGGAAAATCTGAGTCAAGGGTCAAGGACGGCAATTGCCACCGCCGGCGCTCTTTCTAATTCACACGTTCTAATCCTCCTAGTTAAATCACACGTATAAGAAAACTTAGATATCTATCGACCAAAGAATGCAATTTCACACGAGATCTTTCAATATTCGAGTGCCTGATTGCTTAAAAAAGGAATCTAACCCTGAATTTATTCAACTTTCATATGTAGCATGTATGTGAATTGCAATTTAATGACAGCGGCAATGTAACGAATCGGCATCCACGTGGCTCGGATTCCAGAGGGCCAAAATATGAACAGATGGTCTGTAAATACTAAAACGATTTGTTTCGTAACCCTGTTGACATCCTCAAGAGTAGAAAGTGAAGTCGATCTGTGCACAAAGCCCATTCCACTCGCTAACATGATCAGTGCGCATATGGATGCGCAACGTTCAATCAGAATATCAATATCAATATCAATATCAATACCACGGTAGAACGTGGTGTGTGGAAGAAATAAATTCAACCTACAAGCAAATAAACATTTGACGGAACTTTTGGCCTGCTGCCATGGTAAAGACGATTGAGACAAAGGCTAATGTCAAGAGCCATTGAAAGCTTCTTCCAGATCGGGTAACCTGGAAAATCTCACTCCCATAGATTTCTGTTTCTCCTCAATGGAATGTTCACCAGCAACATGACTCCGCAAGCTGTGCTAATAGTGTACCTCGATCGTCTCTCGAATCAAGAACTGCACATTCTACATTGGGGCCACCAATCCCTGTGGTTTAGTTTGCATCCGACACTCTTATGAAATTTGCATGCACTGAGTCGGCAAAGCACCGTGACCTATCAGGGAATCCATGACTACATTGACCGGATTCCTAACGACAACGGATACATTCATAGTGTCGTTTATAATTCTGCGTCGATGACTAAAGGTATTTAAGTTGTGGGTGATACACCCAACATAAAAGCTGTTGACGAGCTTCTCAAGTAAAGCTAGATGAATAGCAGATCGTGTACTGTTCGTCTGCGAAATTTATAGTCAATACTCGAAAAGAAAGAAGCATATTACAGTTTCAATGTAAATCCACATATACTGTAGTTTGAAACCTATCAAAGACGAAGTATATGGGTAACTATCTATCATAGTCTATGACCAAGAAAATAAGGATAAATGTGTCAGCGTTATGCCGTAACGGCGTTTCGTTGCCGCGCGACCACCACCAGTCGCGCGCAGACTGGGTATACCGCGAGGACGCCGACCCCTACGCTGATTCGAACCGGGGACCTTATGGTTGCAAATCTGGCGTGCAGACCACTGGGCCACCGGCCGACGGATATTGCAATCACTGTAGGCAATATGCATACAAGAGTGGGTAGCATAGCGGCAACATGTTCGCCTTTGCGAAAAGCGACTCCGAAAGGGTGGCCATAGACAAAGGAGTAAGTTACGAGGAAATTAATTCCCTACTGCAATTTCTTGGATGGTGTGCATCAGTCTGCAGATAGACAAAAAGTCACCAAAAATCATAAAAATTCAAGGAAGATACAGTTGTCATAAAAAAACCGAACAAAACACAGAGAAATAGATGGTTCCGTCAGAAAGCGAGATACTATCCGGTTGCCCAAGCAGAAATAGGGTGTTGACTTAGGGAAGACCACCCTGAGCCTTTAGCTAAATAGCTTACCCGCAAGGCAGCGGGGATTTGTTGGATGAACTCCCTATCCATGACAGTTTGTTGTTTAAGGGAGATAATATTTCGATTCCACTACGGCTCCGAAAAGGCCAGCTGAAACATGCTCATGGAGCCCATCTGGACGTTAACCATGGAATCAGACGAGCAAGTGGATTGATGATCTCGTTCGGGATGTCAAGTCACATCAGGAAGCATGTAGCAAACCGAGTGGCATGCCATGCTCGCGAAAATCGGCAAACTAAAAAAGCAATAGTGCTGCGCGATGTCTCCGATCGACCATAGCAGAAAGTGGTGGAAGATTCGGTCTGTGACGAGAGAAAAAAATACTCTGCAAATTACTACAATGATTACTTCGAAGTGCATCTACTCGCCACTACGACCCACGGAGGCAGTAAGTAAGAAGCTGAGATGTTAATTCGCCCGACATAGAATACCATAAGAACTGGTCTCCGAAAACGTCCCTCAGTCTCAGGTCTTCGCGACCAAGTGAGAATTTGCGCACCCACAAGTCAACCTATAACACGGCTAGTCAAATGGGAAGGACGGGTTAAAGGTAAAGCAACGTAAGCGGCTGTTGTCAAAAGATAGAGCCACTCATGAGGACCTGTGCCCCACCCCCTTGGGGAACTGCAACACTTCATCACTGGACATCCACCTGAACACAGTGCATCTCTAATACAACCGTGGGGCAAGAGTCCTTGACTAGACTTTTGCGGCCAATTTCGCAACCTGAGACTAGAAAACAGGTTAGAAGGACAAATGATTACTCAGAAATAGTGCTCCGACCAAAATACCCGGGCGCTAACGAAACGGATAGTGGTATTGGGTGAAATGTGCAATTCATTGACGTCAAATAGCAAAGAGGAATTTTAGCGCACAATTTGGAAAGGAACATAAGTATACCTGAAGAACTTCCTTTAATGCCATTAAAAATTCCCGGTCTCCAGTTCGAGTGAATCCCAGTTTGACATGGTTCTCATATGAGTGACCAACCACAGAATAGGAAAATTCATTCGCTCGCCACCGATCTATCCAGGGCAAAGGATGTGGCAGACTGGCAAGTGCGTTCTGTAAAGCCGCTACAGATAACAAGCGGAGCACCAATTTTGGGGTTCGACTGCGAACAAGACCACCGCCTTCTTCAAGCCGAACATCCAACACAGCGGCTAATGGTAAAGCAACAAAGGGCTCCGTAGTATCGGCGCTGCTTTTCCACAACAGTCGATGAGTGGTGAGAACCAAGGCACCATTGTCGAAAGATGTCCGCTCCGATCCGTCATATAACCGAACACCAAGTTGTTGTAACACGATAGCTTCTTCATCTGCTCCAGAGGATCCAGCTAGTCCGAGATGTTCGACTTGATCGGAACACCAACGAAATCTGTCCATAGTAGAGGGGCTCTAAACTGAAGATGTGCCATGGGGAACAGTAGCGTTCATCTGCCAAAAGTAAGCGATAGTTCCGTGGGGATAAACGCAGGACCGGTTTAATCACACCAATATATATCATGCAAAAATCACACAAACAACCAGCAAACACACAGCTCTTGAATAGATGCATAACCAAGTCACTCTGCGGTAAACGCAAGAAGCATAACAAGCAGCAATAGACACTCACGGTTTCGGAGTTAAACAAGAAAACGTGTTTCGTTCACATCCATGTCAGATTTTCCTCATGAATCAATGAACATAAAGACAGGATTGTAAAGTGGCGAAAGTGGAAAAACCATGGGAATCAGAAGGAGTTCGAGAAGCAGTCAATGAGGATGACAAAGAATCGGATTGCAAAAGGAAATGTTCTAAAATACCCTAGCCAGCAGTACATCAAAAACCGCGGGCAGGAATAAGAAAGATTAGTGGTGTACGACCAAATACGAGACGCCAGTATGCAGGTTAATGGACTGGAACGTTGGTTACATTTGTCTGAGTCATGTTGATAGACCAAATCCGAGAAAGCGAAGAAAAGGCCTGGATATGCATGGCTCTGATAAGCATAAACGTGTACATGTTATGAGAGATGTTGATTGGATTCGTCTAAATGGATGCACAGCGCTAGAGGAAGATAGAAAAAAATCTATTTACAACGCCTTATATCTTTGTCCCAGTCAATTACATAAGACGGACAATCAATCGAACGAGAAGAAAGGGCAACAAGGAATGATCGAAGTCAGTCGATTTAAGGAAAGAAGTAAGCAGCGAGTATGCTAAGCACGAAAAGGATTTTGTCTTGCCGCTGGCTCAAATGGCTAGCAAGCAGCGCAAGTTAAACTGCGGAAAAGTAGTTACCTTTGTGAAACGGAGAGAATAGCAATCGATATAGCCAACAAAAATAACGAGTTGTAGATGCATAAATATATGCATATACCGTATATTACCGTGTATAAGCCGACAGTATAACTGCCATGTCAAATGTGTCCGAAATCGTAAGTCTGTATATTGGCCGACCCATCACGTGGATCCATGGAAGGGCATCAAAGTGCTATTGATCAACCACAACTCGAAAATGCTGGTAGCATTTTCGAGTTGCGGTGAGGCATTACTGATTGCGGTAAACCGGCCGGTGCTGTGCGCGCGCAAAAGCAACTGAGGCAATCTATCAGATTGCCTTGGTTTTGATTGCTCAACTTTGACTTACCCGTATAACTTTGTTCCACATGCACATACGTTAATCTGTCTACCCAAATCTATTACGCTTGCGACTGATGACAATAATCGAAATGTTAACATATTGCAACCTTTGTCTTCTGTCTGCGTTGACCAAACGGGTAAAGGGGACACAATGTTTCACCTTCCAAAAAAAGGAGTAAAAAGAGAAACGAAATGGTTTCTCACGATTTTGACTTCATCACTACCTGCTCCCACGTGAGTGTGCTCAAGCGAAAACTGCTCTACTATAACTGAATACTGTATTATAGAGCAAGTAGAAATGAATTCCATACAACTTTTTCGAAATATGGTGAAAAGGATATAAAAATGGTCAGCCGTGAATATCGTTATCGTTCGCCGGTAACATTTAAAATATCTGACTCACGATATTGCAGGACTCCCATCGCAATGAGGCTGGACCTTGCCGTGGTGCGATGGTTTGTGTGCCTCAGTGATCCATTGAGCTATACTGCTTGGTGCATTTTTTGCACCTTCAGAGCCACTCATACCAGATTGGTCAATGGTTAGAGGCCAGACAAACTCAGCATCCTGGTCCTCCAGGTTGGGGGTTGGAATGAGGGTGGCACCTTATTCCTTAAAACGGACTCCTTGTAGCCCAATGCCATACCCGCTGCCTTGCGGACATGTTTTGAACCAAAGGCTTTGGTTGAGAACCCTAATCGTTCTCCTGTCTAGGTCTGGGCAACCTGACAGTATCCTGCCCACGCAATACAATGAATCACACTTCAAACAAATTTCTGATGCTCTGGCCACCGCAGAGGATAATCAACGGTGCCCTATCTGATGCACCGAGCAGGGTAGATAGGGCTTTGGATGCTACTGCTCAAGCCTTCCCGTCTTCTTATTCACCTTCTTGCGCTTTTTCATCCTTATCGTCCCGTTCCAGCTTCACTTTTATCCCCCCTGTTTTCAACCCCCCAATTCTCGGTCCTCCCCCACGTTGCTTCAATAGTCGCTTGTCTTTTAGTTTCAACTCACATGTGAACGCGGAGCGTCATTCCTACGCTGTCAACATGCCCATGTCCAAGCAAGCGGCCAAGCCCAGTTCACCGGCTTCCATTTGCAGCCCTCGATCCTCCTTCAGATTGGCATGCCTCAATGTTCGCACATTGCTTCAGATCGGTCAACAGGCAGCACTTGTTCGAACATTAGAGACGCGCTCGATAGATAACTGCTGCTTTTCGGAGACCCGCCTGCAAGACTCGAGCTCTGTACTCACTCTACGATCCCCTTCAGGTGACGCAAGCAGTGTTTTCTCATTGCGCCTATCCGGTGACGATGCAGCTTCGAGCACCGGCCAAGCCGGTGTTGGTATTGCCTTGAGTCCACGGGCTGAAGCTGCTCTGGTTGATTGGATTCCAATCAGTAGCCGGATATGTGCGGTCCGATTGGCTGGCTCGTTCAAAGCTTCGAAGTCGTGTGGGACTAACAGGTGTCTATTCGTTATCGCTGCCTATGCACCCACAAACTGTAGCGATGACTCGGTAAAAGACGACTTCTATCGTCAACTGAACGAGCTCCTTAGTCACAGAAGAAGCTCGGACACTGTAGTGCTGGCTGGAGATCTGAACGCTCAAGTTGGAAAATTATCCACAGATGAGCTGCATCTGGGCGGCCAACATGGTATAGGCTCCCGTAATGATAACGGTGAGCGGTTACTTCATTTGTATGAGGATGCTCGCTTATTTCTTGCGAGCACTAATTTCAGACACAGCACCCGCCGAAAGGTGACTTGGCGCCCACCAGCCTCGAACCAGCTATGGACGCAGATCGATCACATTGCGATCAGTTACCGATGGAGAGACTGCATCTAGAACTGTCGCTCGATTTGGAGCACAGGTGTGGACACCGACCATGCACTTGTATGTGCTGACATGCGGATGCGTTTTTGGCGGACGCCCACGACGACGTTGTGAGCGCATTGACACCAGCCAACTGACAAACCCAGCTGTTCTGAATGCCTATCAAAGTACGCTGTCATGCGAGTTGGATAAACGCTCACTGGATGCAATTGAAGCTCACTGGTCTCATATTCACCAGACCGTACTAGCAGCAGGAAAATCCTCATGTGGTGTGTCTAATCGCCAACATGGACATTGGGTCTACTCACAGTCTCTGGAACTTATAGACGCTGGCCGGCATATCCCGGCTGGAAGCGAACACAATGAAACTCGCAAAGAACTCCGGGCAAAACTCCGTGCTAGCCTGAAAAGAGACCGCGAATCCTGGTGGTCTCATCGTGCGTCAGAGATGGAAGTGGCCGCTGCCCTTGGTAACCATCGTAAGTTATTCTGTCTGATACGGGAAACGGGCAGCAGGAGACCTGGTGTTAGTGAAACTATACGTGACGAGAGTGGACAGCCTATCCACAACTTATCAAAACGCTTAGAGCGTTGGGCTGAGCACTTTAAAAGGCAATTGAATCGGTCGGAATGGTTAGATTTCTCGCAGGCCACTGATCGCCCCGCACCCTGGGCTGTCCCTTTGGATCCACCCTCTCGCTCAGAAGTCGAACGTGAGATCAAACTGTTAAAGTCAAATAAAGCTGCGGGACCAGATGATCTTCCTCCAGCCCTCTTCAAATTCGGAGGACCTGCTCTTATGGATGATTTACACGAGTTACTAGTCAAACTGTGGGAGAAGGAAACTATCCCAACCGATTGGAGCCGCACCGTCATAGTCCCAATTTTCAAAGGAGGCTCACCATCGGAATGCGGCAGCCATAGAGGAATCAGTCTGATCTCCATCGCCTCCAAATTGCTTGCCTCTGTCACCCTTCACAGACTGGCTGGCACTCGTGAAAGCCAGATTCGTAAAAAGCAAGCCGGGTTTCGTCGAGGTCGTGGCTGCATTGACCACATCTTCACCTTGCGTCAGTTGTTGGAGCACCGTCACATATATTGGCGGCCCACCGTTGTCGTGTTCCTCGACATCAAAGGTGTATTCGATTCGGTGGATAGACGTGCACTTTGGGATTGTCTACTCAGGAAAGGTGTGCCCGAGAAATATGTAAATATTATCCGAGCATTATACACGCGTAGCTCGGGCAGTGTGGGCTTACGGCCATCTGTCGTCGCCCTTCAATATCTCCAGCGATGTGAGACAAGGATGCCTGCTGTCACCTTTCCTCTTCAACTTCGCTACTGACGAAGTCATGGAAATCGCGTTTACAGGACACGACTTAGAAGGTGTGGAGCTACTCCCAGGAGAACAACTTCTTGACTTAGAGTATGCTGATGACATTTCCCTAATCTGTGACAGCTCACAAATGTGCCAAGCGGCACTGGACAGATTAGCACTAGCTGTCCGTCACTTCGGGCTTTGCTTCGCACCCTCGAAGTGCAAAGCGTTCCTCCAAGATTGGTCTGGACCGCCACCTACGCTGACCCTAGGTGGGGATCAGCTAGAAGTCGTTCAAAAATTCAACTACTTGGGAAGTTGTATCAGCGCCCGTGGGATTGAAGATGTGATCACGAACCGTATAGCAAAAGCTCGGGGCGCTTTTGCTAACCTTCGCCACTTATGGCGCCGGCGCGACATCACTCTCACCCTGAAGGGTAGAGTGTACAATGCAGCGGTACGTTCGACCCTACTGTACGGTTGTGAAACCTGGCCGCTTAAAGCAGAGGACCTGAAGAGGCTAGTTACGTTCGACCACCGGTGCCTTCGCAATTTAGCTCACATCTGGTGGGAACACCGCGTGAGCAACGAGCGTGTTCGACGCCTTTTTTATGGGAAATAACCGCTCAGCACCGTTATTTCACGCACCAGGCTCCGATGGCTCGGCCGCATGTTACGCATGCCAACCCACCGACTCCCGCGACGTGTGTTGTTTGCGCGCCGGGGGTGTGGATGGAAGAAGAGGAGGGATGGCCAAGCGATGACTTGGTCCAGAGGAATGAAGGCCCTCGATTCTGAGGTGGCCTCGGTTGGAGCGTCTCGGCTCCCTGGTTGGGGTCCGAAAGACGATGCACACGTCTGGTTGGACACACTTGCTGATATGGATAGGAGCCGACCTCAGTGGCGTTCGTGCTGTGAGTTTCTTTGTCCCACCCCATCCCTCTTAGCCTCCCCCTCCAACCACGATCTCATTGTTTAACCTTATATAATTTTGCATAGTAATTTTTTATGCATGGTAGCCGGCTGTTAGCTTACCGGAACGATGCCCATCCGTTACCGGTAGCTCAGCCGGCTTGCCCAAGTCGAATTCTTTTTTCTCTCCTTTTTTCTGTGTATGGCGGCACAGTAGCTGAGGTGTTCCCCACCTCTAGCTAACGTGTATGATGGTGATGATGATCGCAGGACTCACAAATTTGACATGTCATCGTAAGTGTGCAATCGTTCTATGAATCGAATGGTGGCAAAACATAAATCTAACGTTTTGGTCAGTTCTGGCGACCTAATGTGTTAAGATCACAGCTAATGGGGTTTAGAATGGTCAGAACAAAGATTTCAACCGCATTGGACAGTGTATTCATTAGATGTCAAGTCACACAAAACAGGTAAGACAGCTGATAATATGGGGTAAGTTGAAAGGGTATGTCAGACACAGCTTCGCATAGTCGGAGGTCTCATGTATCTGAATCGCAGTAAAGCAGCGGGTGAGAGGGAAATTCACGATCAGTGGTGTGGGATGACGTTGTACTTTTAATACACCAGATTGACTAGTATAGTGCTGTGATTTGCTAACCGAAATAGCGCTAACGCGACGTCACACGATACAGCTGAGATGGAATGTGCAATATACCGAGAATGTTCGATACAAGCATCAAGTGTCTACCTATAGGCACTTCAAATCCCCGTCTGGGATACCGCCTGTCACTATGGAGTGGTGCTTAGGCAAAATAGGGGCATAGGTGTGCAGTGAATTTCTGAGTGGATTTTTCGTATGCTCTTTTCCAATTGCGCACAACCTTTGTATAAGCCGACCACCCACCCCCCACTACAGACATGGAGAATTATCCGAAATCCATCGGCTTATACACGGGAATATATATACATACATATATATATATATATATATATATATATATATATTGGAAAAGAGCATACGGAAAATCCACTCAGAAATTCACTGCACACCTATGCCCCTATCTTGCCTAAGCACCACTCCATAGTGACAGGTGGTATCCCAGACGGGGATTTGAAGTGCCTATAGGTAGACACTTGATGCTTGTATCGAACATTCTCGGTATATTGCACATTCCGTCTCAGCTGTATCGTGTGACGTCGCGGAGTCGTTTTCCAGCAGAAGCATTGAAAAGGCTTAGAAATAGCAGACCTTCGAAAAGGGACAGCAACCAAGGAACATCATGTCGTCAGCCATAAAAGGTCGGAATAACGAGCAACACGCGTGCGACTGAAGATGGAGAGTCTCGGTGCTGCTTTCTCCCTACGCTGCACTCCAAAATCCAACAAGCGACATCCGACTGAATATAAATATGAAATGAGCTAAGGATGAGTTCTAAGACTCAAGGAGTGTAGATAACCAGTTTTAGTTGAACACGATCCACGGGCACGTTCATCAGTGTACTGGTGTATCCGGAGAAAGATAGAAGTTCAATGAACCCCACAGATCATGATCACGTTGAGCAGATGGGAAAAATGTAATAAGAGCGCAGAATTTTATTCATGAGAATATACAACAGCTCAAAAAAGTAACGTATGTAAACCGGAGGATGAAAGACATGGGTTAGCCCACTGCATGTGGATATAAGTGTTCAATCAAACCGGAGGGTATCTCTGAACAACCGGTTATGATGCACCCACGGCGGTGCGAGCTGGATGGCGCCTTCCGATGATTTTTTCTCGCTCTAAAAGTAGTAAGGGAAAAGTAATTCGGCTGCATTCTACAGCATGGTGGGACACAGAACGTTCAAAATCGAATAGTACGAATGCCTTTATACTATTGTCCAGAATAACCAGCGCGTATCCTTTAAGTGACTGTAGTTCAGAAAGGCCAGTAAAGTAGTGAGTCTATTATCGGTACTTACGACGGCATATGACATCGAACAAGTCCGGGGCCTTACACATTCAAGGTCGGCAGCAAAGAGTATATGTAAACTAAATCTATAGCCTCCGGGACCAATCGTAATTACCGTTGACATAGCAACCATAATAGTTGCAGTCTAAAGAACAATGGACTGCGTAATCTCCTGAATAAGCAGCTGCAACCGGTCTCGAATGCATAACAACCTAATAGTAACACACCATTTTTGGATGGAAGACAAAAGGCGTGATTGCAATCTGTGGTTATCCACTATTTGAAGCACATCCCAACAGCAATACTAGGGTACAAAACCATATCATTGAATTGTAAACATAAATGCGCAGGCATGACTTTGTTAAAAAACCGTAGTAAATACTTACCTCTCTGGGTAATATCATCAATCTCATGATCTGGGACACTCGGAATTCGCTCTTCCAGTGACAATAGAAGCTCTTCTAGCTCGGCTTCAGCTGCTTGAGTGTCAGTTGGGGTCATGGAACCGGAGATAATATCATCAATTTCCTGAAGAAAAAGAACCTAGATCAATTCATCGTAGACAGAAACTATAGATGCCAACAAGTAACAAGAAGGTTAAAAAGAGAAACTGAGTATTTCTAAGCTGCCGTGAAGAAGACCTGAAAACAATTAATAATATCGCAGGGTTCAATTCAGTAAAAACAAGTTGCTGAATCATGAAATGCGAATGACGAGCTCAAGATAGCAGTAACCTCGAATACCATAAGCACGGACAGTATGAAGTAGGTCGGATTGCAGTGGCAGCACCCAGTAGGCCCCATGGATAAAGCACGCTAAGACCAAGTCAAATGACGGCATGAGCTTTTGGAAATTAAAGACAAATGCGTTAGTGGTTCGAAATGAAGTCCGGTTCATTTTACACTAGCTATGTACCTTCTGATAAAGCTGGGACTCCCGACTATCCTCCATGATGCGCTCCACATCCTCTAAGGACATGATTTGGTGGATCTCCTTCAAAGCCTGATTGCCAACTTTCAGCTTATCCATAACGTCCACCTGGATCTGTGCAAACTCAATGTCTTGGACCAGTTGTTCTATCGTTGTGAGGTGGTGGCCTGCTTGGTCCAACAGTTTTTCTAGGCATCTCTTTTTTCTCAGTAGAAGAAGCGCCTTCCTAGGTAATAAAAGAAAGCAACAAATACATAAGATGCAACATAGAGTTAACATAGTGATTAAACACTGTGTTGATAAACCGCGCTTTAGAGCTGTCCACCCAAGACCTCCAGTACAGTGCAATGCTACAAAGCGCCGCTAAACTGTGAGGTGGACGGTACCAATGTTCTTGTTCAGAAAGACGTCGTGCCTAAGGAGAACTCAGTCCTACAGTCAGTATGTGTATGCATTTCGCTGGATCGTTGACGGACCGTCCTATGGTTCAACCCCAACGAGGTCACCGGTAAGCACTACACACCGGAATGGTAATCAGGTGTGAAAAGAGGATAAAATAGCCAACACAGTTAAAAAAAGCATGACTGTTGAGCGCGGAACCAGATAATGCCCATACTAGATGTAAATGTTATTCAACGCCATCAGCGGATAGAAACAATGGTTTGCGTGTTTGTGCTCCATTGCATAACGGTATCTTGAACTTCGGAATTGTGAAGCACATACCAGAAAGTGCAACAATACGCGATAGCCAATTCAACGGCGCCTGTATAGCAGATCAGTCCGGCCCTAGAGGAGCTATGTCGTCCACGCACCTAAAAGCTGACAGTCGGTCGGACAAAGAAACAATTACCCAAGAAATTGTTTGTTTCGTCAACAAAGTTATTAAGAAGTGTTGTCACATTGTGTTATGTTCGTTCCGCACTTGTTATATTTGTACGGTCTTTGCTTTATAGTCCACATACTCTTATTCACAGACAAGTAAGGCCTTGTGAATCGGGCCCTCATCTTCTCAACCTGAACCGACGTGCTCCTTTGTCACTCGGTTTTAACCACTAAAATTCTATCATGGAACGTATTCTCCGACCTGATCGCTTCGAGGTTGATTCTAGCAGTCCTAATGCTGTCTCCCAATGGAAACATTGAATATATACTTTCGAGAAATTTTTTCCGCGATCAAAGCACTACAGTCAGACAAGCTGAAAAGTCTTGTACATTATATTTCTGCTGCCAATTCTGAACGGATCGCTTATTGCACGTGTTAGGAAGCAGCCATTTCCAATGTACCCTCGCATTAAGTAAATCCAAAAAAATGTGAGATACGCGCGGCACCAGTTGTATATCGCGAAATAAGATTCCGGACAAACACTCGATCAATCCTTGCAGAAGCTAAAAATGCTAGCAAAGAACTGCAATTTACATGCCGTTACTACTAAAACTCATCGGGACGAGGCCATTCGCGATGCTTACGTCGATGGATGATATCAAGTGAAATTCGACCGAGGCCGTTGGAGTACAGATCTCTTGATTGTGAGACTGCACTTGACGAAGTCAAATGAATGGAACTGGCACATGTACAGTCCGCATCATACTCAAAGCTAGATTCACTTTCGTGCAGCGTGGGACCCAGAGCGCCCGCCACCAACTCCAACTCGTTCACAAAGCCGGCTTCTGATGTGACTGTAACTGCTGCTGCAAACCCAACTTGTTAATTTTGCGGTCATAAAATACATCCTTGTGCAAAATGTCTTACCAAGGACGCAACATGTAAATCTTGTGATAAAGTTGACCGCTTTCAAAATGCATTCCTGTAACTATGGCATATGCCTGATGTCTGCCGTAGGCGATTCATTCCTATCTGTAGCCATTGCTATCGTACCACGTTGTCTATCGAGAGGAGACTGGACCTTGACGTGGTGCGATGGTTTGTGTGACTCAGTGATCCACTGAGCTATACTGGGTGGTGCTTTTTGTACCTTCAGAGCCAATCATACGAGATTGGTCAATGTTTGGAGGCCAGAGAAACTCAGTCTTCCGGCCCTCCAGGTTGGGGATTGGAGTAAGGGCTGCTCCGTACCCATAAAACGGACTTCTTGTAGCAGTGCCAAAATCTCACTGCCTTGCGGTAATGTTTTTGAACCCTAATCGTTCTATTGTCTAGGCCTGCGCAATCTAACAGTATACCGCCTACGCAATACAACTATGAAGTTCCCTCCACACTATTTCATGATGCTCTGGTCGTCGCAGAGGAAAAACAACGGCGCCCTAGCTGCAGCATCGGACAGTGTGGATAGGGGTTTGGATGCTGTTGCTCAAGCCTTCCCGTCTTCGAGTTCCTTTGTTTACGTTTTCTCATCCCTAGCGCCCCACCGCAACTTTACTTTTATCCCACCTGGTTTAAACCCCCAATTCTTTGCCCCCACTATCTTGCTGCAATAGTCGATTGTCTTCCAGTTTCAACTCACGCACAATCGCAAGGCGTCTCTCAAGTCCAGTCGACAAATTTATGTTCGGTCAAGTGGACAACGTCAGTTCACCCATTTCTCTTTAGAGCCTTCGATTCTCGCCAAGACTGCAATGCCTCAAGGTGCGCACTTTGCTACAGATTGGCCAACAGGCAGCACTTGCCCGAACACTAAAGACCCTAACGATGGATATTGGTTGTTTGTCGGAAATCCACCTGCAAGATTCGAGCTTTGTGCCTACCCTGCGATCCCCCACATGCGACACTGGTGTCACACTCTCATCACACCTGTCAGGAGATGACGCAGCTTCAAGTGCCAGACAATCTGGTGTCGGTGTTGTTTTGACTTCCCGGGCTGAAGCTACCCAGATCTATTGGATTCTAGTCAACAGCCGGATATGCGCCGTTAGACTGGCTGGCTCGTTTCAGGTTTCAGAGTCGCGCGGGGACAAACAGTGTTTGTTTGTCATTGCAGCATATGCACCCACAAACTGCAGCACTGATTCGGTAAAAGAAGATTTCTACCATCAACTTAATGATCTCCTCCGCTACAGAAAAACACGGAAACTGTGGTGCTTGCTGGTGATCTAAACGCTTAAGTCGGACAATTAGCTTCTGATGAGCTTCATCAGCGCGGCCAACACGGTGTAGGCACCCATAATGATAACGGTGAGCGGCTGCTATATCTGTGTGGAGGTTCGTCTCTTTTCCAGGAGAAATAACGTCCGACACAGCAACCGCAGAAGAGTGACTTGGCACCTATCAGTCTCAGACCAGCCATGGACGCAAATTGATCATATCGCGATCAGTTACCACTGGAGAGGCTGTGTCTAAAACTGTCGCTCGGTTTGGAGCATGACCGTGGACTTCGATCACGCTTTTGTGTGTGCTGACCTTCGGTGGGCGTCCGCAACGTCGCTGTGACCGCATAGACACCAACCAACTGGCGAAGTCAGGTGTTCTGATTGCGTAGCAAAGTACGCCGGTGTCCGGATTGAGTAAGCGCCCATTAAACACCGCTGAAGATCACCCGTTGCATATTCGTCAGACGTTACTATCAGTAGGCATGTCTTCACGTTGCAAAGCAAATTGCCAATCTGCACACTGGGCTTCTATGCAGTCTCTAGAACTTATCGATCCTCGCCGATGTATTTCGGCTGGAACCGAAAACAATGAGATCCGCAAAAACGTCAGAGCAAAACTGCATGCTAGCCTGAAGAGAGACCGCGAAGTCTGGTGGTCTCATCGTGCATCGGGAATGGAAACGGGCGCTGCCGTGGTAAGTTATTCCGTCTGATACGAGAAACAGGTAGCTGGAGACCTGGCGTTAGCGAGACAATACTCGACGAGAGTGGATAGCCTAACCACAGCTTGTCAAAACGCTTGGAGCGTTGAACCGAACACATTGTAAGACAGTTTAGCCAATCTGAGTTATCACTTTCTTTTGTGGGCTGTCCTACTTGGATCCAATCTCATACAGAGAAGTCAAACGTGAGATCAGACTGTTGAAATTGCGGATACAATTCACCCAGACATCTTCAAATTCAGGAGACCTGCTATTGTAGATTATTTACACGAGTTAGTAGTGAAAATTTGTGAGCGGGAAACTGTCCCCACCGACTGGAGCCGCTCCGTCATAGTCACAATTTTCAAGGGAGGCTCCCGTTTGGAATGCGGCGACTATAAAGAGACCAGTCTGATTTCAAATGCCTCTAAATTGCTTGCCTCTGTCGTTCTCCACAGACTGACTAGCACTCGTGAAAGCCAGATTCGTCAGAAGTAAGCCGGGTTTCGTCGAGATCAGGGCTGCATCGACCACATCTTCACTTTGTGTCAATTGTTCGAGCACCATGTTAATTGGCGACCAACTGTTGCTGTGTTTCTCGACATCAAAGGTGCCTTCGATTCGGTGGATCGATGCGCCCTGTGGGACTGTCTGTTGAGGAAAGGTGTGCCCGATAAATAAATAATCATTATCAGAGCGCTGTACGCGCATAGTTCGATCAGAGTGAGGGTTTATGGCAAAATGTTGCCGCACTTCGATATCTCTAGTGGTTTGAGGCAAGACGGTCCGCTGTCACCTTTCCAGTTCAAGTTCGCCACTGACGAAGTCATGGAAACAGCGTTCGCTGGACACGGCCTACAAAGTGTGGAGCTACTTCCTGGTGAGCAACTTCTTGACTTGGAGTATGCGGATGACGTTGCCCTAATCTGTGACAGCTCACAAACGTACCAGGCTGCACTGGACCGATTAGCATTGGCTGTCTATCGTTTGGGATATGCTTTGCTCCATCGAAATGCAAAGTCCTTCTCGAAGACTGGCAGGGCCCACCACTGCACTGACGTTTAAAGTGATCAGCTAGAAGTCGTTCAGGAATTTAAGCACCTGGGCAGCTATACTAGCGCCCGTGAGATCGAAAATGAGGTTACGAACCGTACAGCAAAACCACGAAGTGTTATTGCCAATCTTTGGTACTTGTGACGCCGACGAGACATCACTCCAGCCGTGAAAGGAAGAGTTCATAATGTAGTCATCCGTTCCACCTACTTATACGGTTGTGAAACCTGACCCATCAGGTAGGCAGACATAAAGAGGCTAGTCATGTTCGATCATCGCTACCTTCACAGCTTGGCTCATGTCTGATGGGAGCACCGCGTGAGCAATAAATGTGTTCGGCGTCGCTTATCTGGTGCAGGAAGAGTGAGTGAACTGCTCAGCACCATTATATCATGCATCAGGCTCCGATGGTTGGACTAAGGGTTGC